ATATATATATATATATATATATATATATATATATATATATATATATATATATATATATATATATATATGCCAGAGCGCAACTTACAGAATGTTGGCCAGTTTCCTATTTATCTCACACGTTCTGTGCCAGTGTAAGTAAATTCTACCCGATGAGAGGTCTCAAAACTTCGACGTTTTACTAGTATATTTCCGGTAATTGAATCCCTATCCATTTCAATTTTCTGGTATTTACCTCACATTTAATCCTCGAGCCGGCGGCGCGAAGCGCCGTGCGAGGGTACTAATTCCCCCCCCCCCCAGCTATTTACACCCGGGGAAACGAAAGCATTAGCGAAGTCTAAAGTTGATCAATGAGCGTGGGCGTTGGTCACCAACGATGGGTGGTGATCCTCACTGATCTCAAAAATATGGCGGACTGTGGTGAATAACGAACACTGATTGGTCCAATTTAAAGTTTGCATTACAACGACTGGATGACGACAGCGAAATAGCAAATATTTCTTGATTTGATGATTGATATAAAATTTCTTGCGAATATATTTCATTTTTGCTCGTATTTCTGCAAGATTTTGTAAATTTCAAGAAAGAAAGGGCGAAAGAATTAGCTAAAAGAAAGGAGCTGACGTTAACGAAGGTAAGTTTTTTTTAAATATTGATTTTATAATGGCTTTAAAACCCGACGGCCTTTGCGTATATGAAACAACTAAACAAGACAGCATATAATTTCAGTGTATCTTTAATATTGATTCCCTTTTTTATTATATTGAATATTTTTAAATAAAAAATAAAGCAAAGTTATTTGCAAGCGAGAATTTGAAATCATTTTATTGCAAACTCAAATTTATCGATAAAGCCATTTAATAGTTAAAGGCAGTTTAGTTTTATTAAGAACACTTTAAAACGTTTTGTGAATTGTTTGTGGTTGAATTTTACCTTAAATTGAAGCTTGTATTACGTATAATTACATATCTAACATATATATGTTGGGAAATTGATAATTTTGTAATTAAAAGTGATATTTTTAGATGATTTTCATTTGTAAGAATATTCTTAAAAAATTATCGTGTTACCATGACAACGACTTTAGATACTTTATCTTCGGAAAATGCAACGGTTTTGTCAGCCAGGCGAGGGTTTCTGCATGCATGTGCTTTCTAGTTTTTAATTTTTACCTAGTCTTACGCCCTTACTCTAAAAGCTCACTCACACTCAATGAGTTGAGGTTCAATCTGAGCTTTTCTTCAGTGTCAAAGCTGTTTTTGAAAAGCTGGAGGGTGAGTAGTCACATAGTAAGGTACGACACTAACCCTCCAGCTATTCAAAAACAACATTTGCGGCAATGACACTCAAGAGAAGCTTAGATTGAACCTCCACTCATTGAGTGTGAGTGTGAGTGAGCTTTTAGAATACGTGCGTTACAGTCAAGAAAAGCTCAAATTGAACCTCCACTCATTGAGTGTGAGTGAGCTTTTAGAATACGGGCGTAAGTGTTCCTTTAAATAATTTGATTATCTTTCCTTGTACATATATATCATTCATACAATAACGGATTCGTTTCTTCAACTAAAGCTCAAGGTGGAGATACAGTCAAATTGGAAATAATTGGATCACCAACAAATCGCTTACGAGCGGAATGGCTTATTAGAAGTCGCATCGTAAGTTTTTTCTGTTTCTAACTGATATGAATTAAAATTTTGTAACATTGACACTAAAAATGAATTCTAATTTACGTTGGAAGATTTACCATAAGGACATAATGATGAGAGATGGACTTGGAAGCGATATACAATTCCCTTGCATCGACCTTAAATATGAAAATGAAACGTTTCTGTTAAAACTGGATGGAAATGCTCCTAAACTGGATGGCTTCATTCAAGGACAAAGATATAGAATTAAAACTGAGATTGACGATGACCCTCAGGTACTGTAAATTAATGCAAAACCGAATATCATATTACATGCTAAAACCGGGACGTATAATTTAATTTCCTTTTGAATGTTTTTGAATTCTATATGCTTCAAGCATGCAACTTGTGTAGGTATGCAATTTCGTACGTTGACGATAATTTGAATTAATTTTGAGATAAATAGCCTAGTATAAAAGGAGCCAATATAAATGTTTAATTAATATAGTGACGTCATAAGTAGGGTTAACCATATAAAACTACATCTAAATGACCAAATAACATTATGTCTTGTTTGAAAAGTCGTCAGACAGTTTTTTATTTCAAATAGTTACTGAAGTACATGAGTTTGGGCTCATAATATCCAATTGCCCTATGGATAAAATTATTGCGTGACCCTGCTTATGATGTCACATGCATATCCACCAAAATCCAAGATGGCGGAAAGCTCGCTGATTTGTGATTTTTTCTGTTCAAATATCTCAAGAAATAATAAAGTTACGCAAAATCGGTAAAAGAGATTAATATATAATTTTAAAAGTTCTTCCAAATGAAATAATAAAAAAATATATTGCCGTATCCCTTACTTGTATTAAAATTCGCGTCGTACTCATTTTCGTTCAGCTTTAATTTAAATTCGCGCGATTTAATTTCGCCCACCTAGCCTGGGGAGACTTATTCACGCAGCTTTAAATTGGCACAAGTAAATTTCCGTGTTCGTTCGTATTTGGTTTGTTTGATAGAACTATTAACAATTGACGCATTTATAATTAGTATTTTTTGTTAACAAATACTTCAATATTTGTTAAAACTTAATTAAAAAACGATTAGGTGCCCTCAAAAATTGGCTTCCAAATTATGTAATGTAAGCAAAATTCATGATAACAATTATTAAAACGTGAGTTCTAATACCAACAAGAACTAAAAAATTTATTGTTTGGTTCTCATTTGCCTAAAGCGGATTTCCAGTCCTCGCACAAAGCTCCTCGCAGCTCGCTGCGAGTGCATGCATGAGCACTTTCATCCAATCACAATGCTAAACAGTTAATTTTAATTAGATGCAAGCACTCGCAGCGAGCTGCGAGGAGCTTCGTGCGAGGACTTCAAAACCTCCTTTAATGTGATAACATAACGCAAATAGTAATGCAAATCAGTTAATAAATCAACCGATTTACGTACATTACTAACAATGAGTGTCTCATATTACACCACAAAGCTTTTCGCGCGGATTACATTCGCGCAGTACTAAAATTCACGCACCCAGCGCTGCGCGATTTCTAGTACTGCGCGAATTTTAATAGAAGTAAGGTAACTAATTTTGCATGCACTATATAAAGAATCATGCTTTCTTGTCATTATTACAGGAAGACCCAAGTTGTTTCTCAGTTGAAGTGTGTAGTCTTCTGCATGCAGTAATTATAATTTCTATTTATCATCCAAAAACAATACTTTTAAGGTTGATGTTGCATCTTCCCGTGTGCCGCACACAAAATTGAATTTATCATAGAAAGCCATTTACAGAACTTGATTTTAAAAAATACTAGCAATTTAAGTGATACAGAGTCTGTTCATAAGAACATAAGGATCTGCTATTTCTTTATTGAAAAGTCTCTTACTTCGGTTTGCCTTCCGGTGGTATACAATCTTGCATGCTCTGTCTTCATGACTTATTTTTGTAAACATACGTACTACGTGCAGTATATATAGGATATTAGATGATGGCGAGGAGATATGGATTTTATGTTCGAGTGGCAAAAACGATATCTCGCGAGTGAGCGCAGCAAACGAGTGAGATATTGTTTTTCACACGAAAACTTAAATCCTTTATCTTCTCGCAACCGTTTAATGTTTTGTTTATTATAAATGGACATATTCAGAGTCACAAAAATACACGCAAAGAAGACATGTGAATAAGCACGCGAAAGACCAGTATAAAAGTGATATTAATAGTGCAAACATAAAACTAGAATAAATATTACTTATCTCAAGATGTCTTTTAAATGTTTTCGTTTTATTTCCAACGTTAATTTTGTTTTATATACGGATCAAAGACCATTTGTATTTTCAAAACAACAACAATGAAAATGGCGGGAAATTTTCGAGTTTCGTATGTCACTCGCAGGGTGGAAATACGGAAAATACGCGCATCTGCTCCGGGATGTAGTGACGTATGAGTCCTGCGAGTGTTTTAGTTTCCAGTAAAACAGCATTGTAACCATACTTTTTGCCCATACACCATAACTTTATGTCCATTTTTCAGGACGAAATTAGTGACGACATTCGAATTTCGAAATTAGTTTCAGAAATTGAAACCCATCTATCAAAGTCGTTAGAAAATTTGAACACAAAAAAGGGTGAAAAACAATTGATCGCTGACTTCTGGTGTCATTTTGGAAAATGTCTTGTTTACTGTGTTGATGAAGGTAATGACAATAGAAACACGCGTAAGATGTAATGCAACAAAAGATGTAATGTATAACATGTTAATTAGGGGCCGTTCACACTACAGGGTGTATAAAAAAAAACTGAACAGATTTGAAATTGCTCTCAATTTCGCTAAACACCTACTTGATCCGTTTTTTAATATATATAGCTTCTTTGGGTACTTGTAATGTAGAATAATGAAAAAAATTTCTTGAACTCAAATTTTGTGAACCAGGGGGGGGGGTGTCTTTTCCAACAAATTATAAATGGCTCGCGCACAAAATTTAAATGCTGTAATCGTATTTTGAGTTAATAGTGGAATACTTGTCCGGTTTTTAAATACTGTACAAAATTTCAGACAATTTGGTTTAGTTTAAGCCCTTTTACTATTCACGCAAAGTTACGTTTTTCCTAAAAATCAGCTATTTGCATGCTTAATTAATGCCTTTGCCTAATTTGCATTAAGGCATTAATTAAGTATGCGAAAGGCTGATTTTTTAGAATAAAATGAATAGTTAAAGGGCTTAAACTAAATCAAATTGTCTGAAATTTTATACAGTAATTAAGAACCCAACAAAGTTTCCACCTATTAACTCAAAATACGATTACAGCTTTCAAACTTTGTGCGCGAGCCATTTTTAGTTTGTTGGAAAAGACCACCCCCCTCCCCCTGGTTCACAAAATTTGAGTTTGAGAAATTATATATATAAATATATAAAAAACCGGATACAAATAGGTGTTTTGCGAAATTGAGAGCAATTTCAAATCTGTTCAGTTTTTTTTTTATACACCCTGTATAGCAATTTAGATAGATCCGAAATCGATTCTGTGCTGTATCGAGCCAAGTGTTGGACAACCTAAAACAAACTGAGATGGATTCGAGATCGATTTAAACTAACCCCCCACGAGAGGTAGTCTCGGATCGGTTCACGCTTTCCAACTGATCTACTTTCTTGCTTAGTAACCTGGCATTTTTTTCTCATGAAAGTTGAGAAATACTCGTTATTTCCTTTATATTCTCGTGTAAAATATCCAGTGACCTATCCACTTATAATATAATGTGTTGGAACTTTCTTAGAATGGCCAAACGAGGAGAAACATGGAGTTATGACGAGGTCTTGCCGCTAATAGACCTTACCGTTTATTGACGTTTGACCCAATGGTGTCAGGTATTTACTTGTGTTTCGTGCAGAATAGAGTTAAAAAGCATACTTGTTATTGGGCTTAAGATGAACCAGGAACCAATTCGTGAAGGAAACATGGGAATATAACCGTCATGTGCACCTGTCATGCCAAAACTGGGAAACACGAAAACGAGGCCATTGGGATAAAAGTGAATAAACGGTAAGGTCTATTAATATTTGAAGTCAGGAGAAACGTTTACAAATGCTGGCAACGAGTTGCAAAAACGCGGATATCTACCGCAAAATGAGCGAGTTCACAGATGGATGCGCTGGGATATAATCCCGATTCAAAACGATGTAGAGCAAAGGTTAAACATTTGAAAAATAAGCACAACCAGAGGCTATTGGAGCTGATGGAGGCTATTGGAGCTGATTGATTCATCAAGTTCAACTGAAACTAATAGAAACCCAGGCAAGTAGACTGAAAAGTTATTCTTTGATAATTTATCTACAATATCTTTATTGGCTGTTTAAATTTCTTTCGTATATTGAAGGTATCAGTGCCTGAGGGACTAAGCAAAATGGAATGGCCTATTGTGCTTTTATGGTTTTACTTTATGCATGTTGCTAATATTATATTGTATACCAATAATTAAGTATTTGATTACTCAAAATACATACTTCATTCTAAACAGAAACATCTATATGTCTTAAAAATTCTAATTTTCTATTCTATTTCATAATTTTTAGAGTTTGAATTAATACAAAAATATGGAAAAGGGGAGAAACTGGAAAAGAATTGAATTATTTGTGGAAGTACAACTAACATTCGAACAGCTGGTCTCCATGTTGGTGATGGTATAGAAGTATTGGTGTGTTCACTGAGCTTGATGAATTTGAATGTTTCTCTTGTGGTTTTACAATACCAGGTATGATACAATCTCTATACCATACTAAAAGGAGATTAGGTATGCAGATTTAAGATATATGATCAATATGGTACTCAAGCAGTGTGAGAAAACCTGAGGTTATGCAGTCGTCATAATCTATTGCAAGAATTAGTGTTTCACTCATCAACAGTCATTTTAGTTAAGAATTATTCGCCGAAGGCGAGGTGATTATCTGTGAATAAAAACCGAGACTAAGCAATTTCGTTCCCCGAGCCTGCGATCCTCGGGAAGGAACCGAAGGCTCTGGGATAATCCGTTTCAGGGAGGAATCTGATTGGCCATTGATATGGAATGCGTAGTTCAATCTTAGCCATGATTCTTGGCTTCCGGTAACGGATTATCCCAGAGCCTTCGATTCCTTCCCGAGGATCGCAGGCTCGGGGAACGAGATTGGAGACTAAGTCGAGGTTTTTATTCACGATAATCACCGAGCCTGAGGTGAATAATTGTTTTAGTATAATTTCATGGGTGATTATTTGGAAACAAATTTAAAAATGCACATTTCTTCGTCTTTTAATTGACAAAACGGCTTCGGCCGCCAGTTTGAAAGTCGCTTAGGTGATTATCGCGTAATAATCACCTCAACGGTAACCAATCAGCGTGGAGAATTTTTAATAATCACCTATGTAATTATACTAACATGTTTTAATGCATTGCCTGTGATGGGTCACAATTTTGAATCTGATACACCTCACATTTCCCGGAAATATAGGAGATGCGGTAATTTCCAATAACAAGCGCATCATTAGCCTGCGTGGCAGGCCCATTAAATATGGGCCTGCAACAATCTTAAGGAAATTCGTTATTTCTTGCCCGTGAGAAGACGAGAAAATCCTATTTGCTAAAATAATAATATATGCCAAAATACGCATAAATTTTATAGAACCGTCTGTGGCGCAACGTTTATACGCTTTCAATAAAAGCGTATATTTTTGAAAGAGTACCGTGAATTTGGGTTTTAAACGAAAAACTTAACAGCTGCAAATCGTTGGGATGTTTTGGCAGGTTTTCTCATTGGATATCTGCCTTGACAAGTAGAAGAGCATGGATACAAACCCATGCTCGTGTTGATATTTCTCTAAATAATACAGCTATACCCGATCAATTTGAAATATTGTTGACAAATTATTTATCCTATTAGTAAAGTTTGGAATACATGTCGCTTTATGTATTTTTATGAAACTTACTACTCGATCTACAAACGTTGCTGTTATGTTATTATGAGTTTTACAGCAGACTACAATGTACAGTGCAATTTACAGTAGCTTGTATTGTGATATATTTTGAGAGTTAAGAGTTTGTTATTGTCAATTTATAAACGTTATTACTGTTCAGCCGTTGCAATTTTGAAACATATATTCGCTCATAGCTGGTCATATTTGTTTGATTTTGAAATTTATTGTAATGTTTGGACCTAAGATGGTATTGTCTTCCTTTTGATATAAATATATTTTTGAGTTCCGTTCATTATTAATACGTAAAAATAGTCAGTGTTGAGTAACGGCATTTAAACTGAAATTTGCTGTGTTGGTGTAATGTACTCAGGTGAATAAGATGCTTGTGTGATGTTACTCTGAGTGTATATCCACACGGGCAGGCTTGAAAAATATGCCCGACCACGGTGGGATTCGAACCTACGACCTTTGGAATACTAGCCCAATGCTCTGCCAACTGAGCTACGCGGTCAGGCCAACTGAGCTACGCGGTCAGGAAGCATTGGGCTAGTATTCCAAAGGTCATAGGTTCGAATCCCACCGTGGTCGGGCATATTTTTCAAGCCTGCCCGGTGTGGATATACATTCAGGGCATTTAAACTGTTTATCAAGTCAAAATGTTTTGTTCTTGTGAATTGTATCACATACCAATGTACCAAACCGGCATTGCCTGTGTAAATTCTGTTTTATTTATTCCAAAAGTAATTTAAACTGCCAATTTTTTAAAAGTTTGAATTCTCGAGCTACTGCATATGAACTACAACAGTAATAAGTATATTAGTCATTACTCACACTGCATTATCACACACACGAATTTCAGAGAATATGATTGATTTGATTGGAAATAAATTATCATGGTAATTAGTGGGCGGTGATCAAATTTCCTTGAGATTGTTGCAGGCTCTCCTTTCAATGAGCTTGCCACGCAGGCTAGTGCATCATAGACCAACAGTTAAAATATTTTATTCCTATAACTTTATTTTTAAAAGTTGATGATGATCCTGATAGTCACAATAATGATAATGATGAAAATGATGATGATCAGGCCACAGAATTAACGTCTGAGTTAGAAAAACTTTCTTGCGACAATGTCCGACTCTGATGGTACTCAAATGGGCCGTCGATTAGAAGTGGTAAAAGGAAGCAAAGATTATCCAAATATGAAGAATTAAAAAAGTGCATGCACGAATTTACAAAATCTCAAAAGGTAACAGACGAAAAGTTTGTGCGAAGGTTGATCAAGAAATGAGAAAACGAGAATTAAAGGCCTACACAGATTCATTGGCATTATTACCCAATGCCATATCAACCAGACAACATACATCCAGTTCAATCTCAACCCATTGGCCAGTTGTATGTAGAAAATAACAAACTACACATTACTTGAAGAATATATCACATGCAACTTTAAGATACAGTTGTTTTTTAAAACATTAATTACTGTAATACATACAGTTGTTGTATTAATTTTCTATCCCTCCTATAAGTTAGTAACTCAGCCTTTAATAAATTAGTCATTGTTGAAATGATGTAGAATTAATATACTATCCTGATTCTAGATCTAAATAGACAGTGTAAAATGGTGCCTACACACAGGATATAAAGAACAGGATGGATAATAGATTGATGATCATACTTCAAATCTAGAGCCATAGTCTATGTTTCTGACATATTCTGTATAAGATGTCAATCTTTTTGTGTGCTAACGAAATTAGCATGTGCTTGCCTAATTTCAATGGGGGCATCGTCATCGTTGATATGATTGACTTATTAATCATATCATTTATTAACCATTCTTGTAGTTAAATTTTACCATGTTATGCAAAGTACAACATTTTGCAATTTTGACATGTAGGTTTCTAGATTAATTGGTACCATTTCTTTTAAGAAAATAGCGAAATCGACATAGTTAATTTAGCCGATGATACGGAAAGGTCTTCATTAACCAGAGTAACAAAGAATAAGCATTTTCAATAAAGAAAATTGGAACTTCCCAATCATTCATGTTTTTTTGTCCACTGAAAGAGAGACAAATTATCTAACTTTTTAAACTGACCTTATGTTTGTTTATTCTTGCCTTAGTGGCCTTATTTTTATGTTCACATGTTTCAGCGTGTTATGTATAGCTTACATGAAGACCAGGACACTGGAACTCTAAAGACCCGTTTACACTTGCAATTTCCCCCTGCGATTTTAGGTGTGATTTTCTTCTCCTGATGGATGTGGATGAAGTATGAATGTTCAAATAAGAATACATATATTCAGAAGATTCATAACTCATCTGCTCGCTCACATGCATCAGAAGACCAAAATCGTACTAGGAATCGCAGAAAAATTGCAAGTATACCTTGCAACAAGTTGATCGGCATCGTTACCAATTGTTACCACGCCGATTCTCACCAAAACTTGTCCTCAACTGCTAAAACTTGTCCTCACCAAACGTTGTCCTCAAGCTCAGTGAGTTGTTCCTGTAGCTATTGTATCCCTCCAGTTTTTACCCAAGCCAAGTACTCTTAGCAAAGCCAAAGATACAACATAGAGAATAAGAATTTATTGAATAAACTTACGCAGGTACTTTCAAGACTGCAGAGTATCCACCTTGAATTGTGATATCTCCTGTAA